TTTCTAGCATCAAATTATACCAAAATTAAGTTAATGATGTCTCTTGATTTGGTGTTTAAAAGTAATTAAATATATATTTTTATTTATTTATCAACAAAGCTATTTCTTTTTATATTTTTGCGTTGGCCATGAACTTATAAATAACTTAACTAAATATAAAAATAATATTCCCTATTTAAAAAACAACGGCGGATCCTAAAGCTTCGCCTCTAACCATAGATTTCAATGCCCTGTTGCTGCTTTCATAAAATAAATTGCATTTTATTAGCCAAATAAAAATTAATGAAAGTGGGTGGTGGGTCCGTTAAATACCCGTGGATAAAGCAACTATTGTCACATGATTTGGCTTGACTCGGGCAATATTTTTTAGCCTGCCATACCCTGTCGGCTGTTGCACAGTGAAAAGGGTTCGACACCGGAGCAGGATCTGGGATCCAGGATTCAGAATTCAGGATCCATAGAACCGGAGTTTGGAGCCGGAATGAGATGCCGCACAAAAGGACCACCACAATGGCTCGTCTGACAAACAAGGCGCAACAAAAAAAAAAACGAACGAACGCAAAAAAGGAAACACGAATGGCAAGAAACCGAAACCGAAACCGAAAAAGGTGTCTCGAATTTATATAAAAATAGCTAAATTTATTGGACAGTCGCACGCCACCCATTTAATTTATATTTATAGAAAAGTAAAAAAAAAACGAGAAAAAAGGATAGGTGAAGGATGGAATGAAAAAATTAAAGAACTTCTATATAACGGATGCTGGAAATGAAAAGAAAGGAAATTATATGCTTCATGAAAGACATTTAGAATAAGAATAAGTTGGATTTTTTTTTAGTTTAATACTCATAATTTTGTGGCTTTACAAAATAAAAGAGAAAATATTATTGAAAAAAATTCTTACAGTTGTATTTTAATTAAAATATTATAAGATTCTAATTTAAAAAGCCAATAAAATTGCATCCAACGATCCTAAACCCTTTAAATGAGCATAGAATACCCCCCTTTACCATTAGACGTTTCCTTAATTCTATCTCAAAGCTTACTGCAATAAATTAGCCTTCATTCTTTGGAACTCCTTTTCCTCAAAAGGAGCGCAGCAAATTAAATGTCAAACGACAAGGGGTCCGGTCCAAAGGACAAATAAAAAAAATAAATAAAGAAAAATTCTCACTTCCGAAAGGAGAGAAGGGGGGCGTGTCTGTCTTCTTTTCTTCGCCTTGTATTAAAAAACAATTTTGCTGGAGAAACACATGAGAAAACTTGCGACACGCGTCACAAAAAGAAAATGTATATATATAAAAAAAGGGACGTGAGGGACACGGAAATTGGCCACAAAAGATGCTAATGATTTATTTAATCGATTTGACCATGAACATATGTCCTTTTTAGTCTGTGGCGTGTGAAAAATGGTCGTAAATACTGGGGGCAAATGGTGGGTCAACCTCTTCAATTTTATTTCCCCATTTTTTCGCCCCTTTTTTCTTGCCATTTCTTGTTTTTTTCCTTTTTTTTTTTTTTCTCCTGCAGTCAAGTGTCCGGCTGATCTTTTTAATAGTTTTCGGTTACGCAATGTTGACAAGGGTTTTCGTTTCCCAGGGACAACAGGCTAAAGGGTCAATATTAGACGATGAGTGGTGGATGGGTGGTGGATGGCTGGATGTGGTCAAGTGTAAGTCGTTTCGGCCTTGCTGTGTAAATTATGTTAAACGTTTGTCAATTTGTGTGATTTGTCTTGTCTGCCAAAAGGCAAAAGGTGCGAAAGGGGTTAACCGTCCATGGTCACGCGCTATTAACTCCAATAAATGTCAAAAAACGAGGGGGTTGAATGTCCAAAGTGTGGATTTGTGGCCTTGTCCAATGATTTCGAAGAATCTGGGCGCTCCTTAAGGAATTTTATTCATTTTGTTTGCTTTATATGGGCATTGGTATCAATTTTGAAAAACTTTCTCATAACATATATTTATTGACCATTCATTTTAGGCAATATTTCTGTTCGGTAGATAGAAATTTTGAGTTTTTGGGGTTACAAAATCAGCTCATCTCTGTTTCATACAGATAATAAATAAAGAGAAGATGGGGGAAAGCGTAAGGCAAGTTTTAGGGTTTTTTTTTCCTTTCTTGCTTGTGCTTTTTATTTAAAAAGTGGAAAATGACTAACGGTGGGTGTGGCTAAGGAGAAAGGAAAAAGGGGCGGCTAATAAATCGGTTTCAATATATCAAAGACTTAAATTTCAATTTTTTTCAAATTTCCTGCCATTTAAATGCACTCCTTCGTCCCAAGGATTTTCGAAAGAGAATGGGCTGGGGGTGACCGAGGACCCCATTGTTATGGTTGGCTGGTAAATGATGCGCAAGTGGGATGGCTGGGTTGGTTGGACATCGTGGCATTCGCTGCAGAATTGTGCCTTTTTGAGTGAGCCAAGAATTGAATATTCCTCTTCGTTTTCCTCTCTTCTCAGTATTTTTTTCCCACTTCTCTGGCGGGTCTATCCAATTTTTTTCTTTGGCGACAGACAACGACGCAATTCTTTAGCATTTTATTTCAATTTTCCTTGGGGTTCGGGGTGTTGGAGGAGTCAACGCAGTGTACAGCACATTTACTGCCTCATCTATTTAATACCATAAATAATTGCATCTAATTAAATATGCTCAAATGAAAATGTCCGCTTTTCTTTCTTATTTTTTTTCTCCTTCCTTTGCTCTCCCCTGTCCAGGACTTTTTTTTTTTTTTTAAACCATCCCAGCTACGTGCCATGAGTTGGCTGCAGTTGACGCGTGATGGAGCGAATGTCATTCGAAATGAAATTCAAGTTCCAATTTGGACCAGCCAGGCGAAGAAAAAGAAGAAGAAGAGCAAAAAAAAAAAGAAAAGCTGGGTGGAGGTGGAAAATAGCGCAGAAAATGGGAAAGATTGGGTGCCAAGGAGAAATTAAGTAGCAGCGGGCAAAGGGAAAAAAAGAATTTAATAGTTTTCAATTAGGAATCGTTTGCAGCCTTTTTTTTCGCACCCTCTCTTTTTCTGCCTTGCCCCATTCCTTTATGGCATACACTTGATGGTGGCATGCCACTCCCAGTATTTCCGCCCTTCTTCCAACGCCCTTTTTTCAAGTGTCAAGCAAATGAAGTCACGACTCGTCCTCCCACTTTTGCCAGTTTCATTATTTCGCCTTTGTTTTTGCGTTTCTTTTTGTTTTTGCTTATCAGATACCCTGTAAGGGTTTTAATTAGAGAAAAAAGTATAATCATCAACAGTTTTTAACTCTATCAATTTATTTTTCTTTCTTTTTTTATTTCACTAAAAATATATTCATTTTGTATTCAATGACTTTAATTTGTGTTCTATTCTAATTTATTTTGATTTTTTATTTAGCTCCTTTTGAAAGTCAAATCACTGGGTATTTGCTATTCGTTATTCTTGAGAAAATTCCTTGACATTCTTCAGTTCTCCTGTCACTATTGCGCTGTTGTTGCTTTTGCTGCTTTTAATTCAACGTAAATTTTATTTTATTTTAATTTCGCTGCAGTTTTTTTTAGCACACTTCATTCTACCCATCTCACTCTGTGACGCCTCTTTCTTTCTTACACACAATGGGTTGTCTTTATGAACCCAACGCCGTTGGATTTTTTTGATTATTTTGCCTTTTCTTTATTATTTTGGTGGGTTTGTTTTTAAATTGAATTGATTTCCCTTGTAATTTGTCACTTGACTCTCATTTAAGCAAAAATAATAAAGCAGTTAGTGTGTAATTTTGGCTAATTTGAAAATACTAAAGTTGGAAATAAGTCCATTATATTTTATATAATTTTCCATTTGAAAATAGTTCATCAAGTGCAACCAACTAGTTACTTGCCTTTCGATTAGAAACCAATAAATAAGCCTGAAATATTTGCAGCAAACTTTCAGAGACACTTAACTTTTGCCGTGTTCTTTAAGGGGAAAACTGGGATATTTATGGTGACCCCTGTGAAACTTTCACTCCAACTTCGTAATACCAGGGGCAATCAATGCAGAGGGCCAAAAAGAAACAAGTCAAGACAGTTACCTAAATAACTTTGCAGCAAGCGGCAGCAGCAAAAGTAAAGAACGGAAAACCAGTGGAAAACACGGTAGAAACAACGGCAAACAACAACGAAGAGGAGGAGTTTGGCGGAAAATTAACGGTAAGACCGGTCGTAAAGCGGGTATAGCAAGCAGCACGGCGAAAAGTTATTGAGCAACGACCTAAAACAACAAAATCCTTAGCCGCTGAAATTTCTGGCCTGTGATGGTTCGATGAATTTATTACTTTTGATGTTCAAACACGAAAACTGCTGCAGGCCATAAAACAAGGACCTCCTACAGACCTCCAATATTTCTCATTTATACCCAAACCACCAACAAATTTTATCCATCAGACTTTGGCGGAGTGAAGCAAATGCTATTAAAAGTTTACATGTCTCAATAGAGTGTTAAGAGATTAGTTGGCATAAAATATTTCCAGAATTTCAACGGAAAAGTTGAGCAGACATGGCTACAATTGTGGGATACGAAAGTGGGAATAATGGCGGCTTCGAAAAATGTTGTATAATTAGTAAAAGTCTTACAACAAATTACAATCCATAGATTACAATAAAAAAATAAAGAAATATAAATGAAATGGAAAATTTGATTAAATTTAATTCTTTATACTTGTAAAATAAACTTGTTGTTATAAAAAATATAAATATTTAAAGCATTGTATTTAATTATTACGTAGAACAACTCTTATTAATAACTGAAGTAAGGTCATCAGAATGGTGCCAGCAGAAATTTAACAACTATATTGCGAAACAAGCCTCAACCTTGTCGCAAAATGATGACAAATCACGAACTGGCAACACACACAAACATTGCGTTATTATTAATGCAAGATACATCGAGATAAAGCCACATCATAATAGCATTCGAACAGCGATTTAACGTGAGATTGAGATTCTCTGACATACTTTGTAAAATATATATATTTGGTGATCTTTACATTCGGTGAACCAGTGTAGTTAACTGTAACACAATGGCTAGTTGCCATTTAAGCCTGGGTCTAATAACCCTTTTTATAACGACATTTTTGTTTCAAATATGTCAATCGGAAAAACCTTATAGTGTGGAGCTAAACTCCTTTGAAAAGGACCAATCCATTAATAATCAAGATAAATGGGTAGATTGGGGATCCCTGGGTATGAAAAAGGTCTCACGTAATCAATTTGTAGTGAATGGAGACTTTGAATTCAAACTGAATATGGGTGATGAGCAGAAGGTAAATTAGTGTTTAAATTTAGTTTAAATAAATATGTTTTTTTAATATATATATTTTATATTACAGATTGTTCTTGCGGTTTATGTATACGATCCCAATACCAATCAGAAGGGTAACATGGTAATGGCTATGAAGAAACCCTTCTGTGAGTTTATTAAAGAAGATAAGGATACGTATCCCAATGTTAAGAAAGTCTCCAATTTACCGGATCAAGGAGAATGCCCGTTCCCCAAGGGCAAATATACGATCGACAAATATGAAATGCAAACAAATTTTCTACCCGACAATGCACCCAAAGGTGATTATTTGCTTCAATTATCTTTGATCGATCGTGAATTGCCAGTAGCTGGACTTGTGGCCACTGTCACCCTTACATAGGGGATATTTATTTTTATTTTTATTATGATTTTTTTTTGTTTTTAAATATTTTCCGGGTGGATCTATTTGATAAGGCAAGAGTTTTTCTTCATATTTAAATTTATTTTTACCTTGAATATATCAATATTACGACTTGGCTTTCAAAGACAAGAAAAGGGTTATGGTTTCTTGGGAATGAGGGGGTATAACCACCAGTCATCAAGTGCAATATGCCTGAAATGACAAATACAAAACCAATTGCACCGCAAAATTTCAGCTTCAACACCTCATCTAATTGAAATTTCCAGAAATATCCTGTCGAGTAGATGGCCTGGCATTTGTCTCATTGGCAACGCCCTCCCCCCGCCCCGTTCCCATTTTTCCCACTCATCGTTATGGCTCTTCAGAAGTAAATTTAATGATATGTGCACGACATTTTCCCCCCATTTTCTCTATTTGCATTTTTTTTTTTTGCTAAAAATGATTATCTCCGTATTACAATCCATTGATTCCACTTAAGCACCGCTAGAATTGGACCACATGCTGGGTGTTTGGAGGGGGGTTTTTCACACACATGCGACACTTAATTAACAAATATACATTACGAACACCCGCAACGAACAGCAATTGGTTGGTCATGTTATCCCAGAAGCCCTGGGTATCAAATACCCAAGCCTCCTTTTTCTATTTTTTTGATGCACTCCCTTTTCACCACGCCAAAAAGAGCCAAGCTTAACCCTTTATTTGCCACGTCCCATCAGCAGGACCCGGGGGTCCACAATGATAACCCCTCGCAAAAAAGGGGGGGTTTCACGCGGGGTTGGCATGTGTTTAATTGAAAAATCATATGCAGCGCGCATAATTATGTTTATTGCAATAATCCGATGCAAATTTGCAAAAACTCAAACTGACACAATCACCGAAATGCTTTAGACGTTGGCAAACACCAACAGTGGCGTAGCGTTAAACGAGAGGGGATGTGTTAGCAAGTTTATAAACTGCTAAAGAAAGAATGGGGAGTAATGGTATATAAAGCTTAGGCTTAAGGCATTAAATTGATTATGCGTCGTATTCATATGCCTTTCATTCATTCATTTTCCTAACTACGACGCCACTGTATAACCCCACAGTCCTTTGCACTAGGCAACCCCTTCTAATTTCCGCCCCCATGCAACCGGTTGCTGTTGCAGCGACGCCCTTGCGCTTTTCAGCAATTGCAACTGCAACTGGAACTGCCTGGTGATTTGTGTTTGTATCCCTATTCTGCATGTGTAGTTGTGTATTTGAGTACCATAACTGTATCCGCGTATCTGTGTATCTATGTGTATAGGCGGCGAGAACGTATGTGTAACGGTGTTGTTGTTTTTGGTTGCTAGCGCGCATTAAATTGCTCTTTAAATTGCACATTTCAACGCCTACTGATTATGACAGATAATTATGTTATCGAGTGTCGCCACACGCCGCATTCAACCCTTTAACACCCACCGAAATCTTCTTACCCCTTTCCAAAATATGTATCTATGTTATGCAAAATTGCTCATTTCGGTGCATATTGAAAGATGTGTTTTTGGCTTGAGTGGTTTGGAAAATATGTCTTTCAGATTGATCTTAAAAAAGGTGTTTATATATCTTATATTTCCTGTTAGCAAGTTGGTTATCCCTTAAAGATATATTTCATTATTTTCCTTAAGAAAACACCTTCAGCGAAGTCAAAGTCAAGTGAACTCGCGATGAGTAGAAGATGGAGCCCAGGTGGTAGCATGTGTTCGCTTTGGGGACAGGTGTACTCCCTTTACAATCCACACAGAGAAACACACCTTCTTGCCGTTTCATTTCCGCAGGTACACATATTTTTAATCATCATTAACAATAATTCGAGAAATACTTTTAATTTTGTGTTAGCGGCAGGCTTAAGACGACATGTGGCGTCAAGGGCGGAGGTTTCAGTGGGGGGCGGGCTTTTGGAAATCGTTAGGTTAAGGTTTTGTTTTCTATTCCCCCTACTACCCCTTTATATATATATTTCTTTTTTTTTTTTGCGCCTCAATGACATTGCACTTACTGTCTCCGCCTTCAAGATTTATGAAAAAATTTCCCACCCCACTCCAGGGGGAATTGTTTTCGACGCCTTTGCCCGCGTTCTGTTTGTTGCTTTTCCTTCGGTTCGCGTCGCCTTGTTGTTTTTTTTTATTCTGGCATTTTCTTGTGTGCGATATTAATTATTATGGGCGCCCCGCCACCCACACAAATATATCATAAATTAAAAGCTGGGAAAGTGGCTGCCGCACCCCCGTCCATTCGTTCACTTAGACAATTTTTATCATTAAACGCATTTGATAATTAAAAATTGTCATTTTTTAGCAGCCCCAACTTTCAAAAAAAAAAGAAAAAAAATGAAAAATATTAAATTACCAAAGAGAGACGGGGGTTTAGGGTGAAGGGCATTTATCATTTTGCCAACTGTTTGTTTGATAAGGGAAAAGCCAACCGAAAAAAAAAATATTGTATATATATATAAAGTATATATACAGACATAAATAAAAATTAATTGGTGAAAAGAGGGATAGATAGAGAGAGAGGGAGATGAGCAGTTGAAGTCACATAAATATTACTTAAAACAGATTCGGAAAAGCCGAAAAGTGCCAAGCCACTCTCTTTATTTACCTTTTCCGGTTCGCTTTTCCTAAGGTTTCATTTCATTAAGTTTTACAAGCTCTTCGATTGCCTCACCAAAAAAAAACAAAAATAAAAGTATAAGAAACAAAAACCTGACGGGGGTTGGGGGGAAAACGAAGTAGACAACCGTTAAAAGTAATGCCAAAAGTGGAAACCATTATAATTGTTGTTAAATGAACCAGATAGCAAAGGCAGACGGATGTGGTAGGGGAAAATGCGGAAAAGCTCTTGGCAAATGTGTTTCCAATTGATGGAAACCCGTCCAATTGCGAAGGTTTCCACCGCCGGCGAAAATGGCAACCGAAATAAACAGTGAACACAGATGAAGGAAAATGTGGGTAAAATGGGAATACCGAAGGAAAATAATCTTGAAAATGTACATTCATTTTAATTGCTTTAATCCAATGATCATAAAAAGTAAATTGGTTACACAGACGAGGGTTTATCTTTAAGCTTAATGTTATAAAATTACTTTCTTACTTGCTAACTTTTTCTAGTTCTTATTATCTAATGACATAATTTTGTTAAGAATTATCTTGTCCTATCTATTAATAGCTGCCCCAAATAAATAATCAATTTAATTCCAAAGTTTCTAAAGGATATTATTGTCATTTCTCTGTTTGTGGAAAAATTTCCCCGGCCTTGTCATTTTACGCGTTATTACCACTTTTCGAAGGAAATAAAATATTATTAAAATTATATTTCGCTTGGCACACACACACACACACACACAGAGACGAAAGCACAGGCTGAAAATTTGGTGGCTGTAAATCAACGTCTCGCCGCCACCAAGAACGAGACGGCACTAAACGAATCGAAAGGGAGAGGGGGGTAGAGTAAAGTACTTTCTCTACTGGCTCGCCTTTTAGATCGAAAACTTTTTCACGTCTGTAGTTTTGCATGTATATAACGCTTTTCCTTCCTCTCATCGTTTTCACCTTGGTTACAGTGCAACGTGAAGAATTTTATTTGAATTTATCAGACCGCGACTCGTGTCTGTTGTGCCTTTTTGGCTCATTTTCCTGGGACTCGAGGCAAATAATTGTAAATATTTGATACACAATAAGGCAATAAAAATAAAATTGAAAATTTTTCGCTTTGTGCGCTACGTTGCCTTTTATTATAATCATCATCAACAGCATCATCAACAGCATCATCATCATCATCATCATCATCAACATCATCCTCCCCATTTCATCTGGGATTGTGTCGTAAAGGAAATTGATACATAAGTCATTTTTATTGGCATATTCTTTTGTGTAATTACATTGCAGGTAATTTAAATTTCCGTTTCGAGTTTTATCCGTGGATGCTTCTGCTGGCTGGATATAATTTATGCCTGAGAAAACCCTATTAAAAATTATACGCAATTTACGTAAATCGCATCGATTTTCAAGTCGACTGGAGATGAAAAAAAAATGTATGGAGAGTTTTTTCCCATGGATGAAAATTCGAACTAAATCGAGATAAAAATTAATAAAATTTTGAAATATTGCCGATTAATTTTTTATTGTTTCCATTTTCCAGGCGCCCGTTATTTCCCCGCTTAGTTTTCCTGGATCCGTTGGAAAAAATGCTCCAGGACATTCACACATATGCAGTAGATAAAAATGATCTTGAAACAGTGCATGCTGAACTGCAGCAGGATTAAGCGATCACTGGTCATGGCTGATACAAGCTGGGGCAGCTCAAAATCAAGGAATACGGGAGCCAATTAAAAACTGTATTTTATTACCACATTTTTTTTTTTTTTGAATATTTATAACGAAATTATTTTGACGTTACAGGAAAAGTGAGTGTCTAAAGGAAGGTTGTATTTTAAATTTTTAATTAAATGCCAAACCAAAATAATATGTTTATCTTCTTAAAAACCAAGAAAAAAAACGGATATAATTATATACCGCCTATTCCCTTAAAATATAATTGCCCAGCGAACAAAAAAGTAAATAACTTAAAAGTTTCACCAGCTCCACCACTTAACCGTTCAATTTGGGGTTCCGAAAATCCGCCAAAATTGGCCCCTATTTCCTTTACCCCCCCCCCCAAAAACATTTTCCTCTGTATTACCAATGTATGTGAATTTTCTCAGAGCTTTTTTGGTGCAAAGTTTTTGCGGCTTTTTCAATATTTTATGAGTCAAGCTTTTGCGTTAACACCTTAAGTACGGAGGGCATTGCGGTTGAAGGGGGATTGAAACGAACCCCTCAAAAAGGAAAGTTATTTGTGCGTTTGTGTGAGTTTGCCAGGATATAACGCGCAAGTTGTAAGTTTTAACTAGCGAACAACTTGCGTTGGACCAAAGGACCCGGATTCAGGAAGCCCCCCTGTTACCTATCCCTTCCAGCCAGTTGCCACCCATGGTAACCACAAAATCGAGCGCAAGGAGGGCTAAGGAAGTCAGGAAGGACGACTGTTGCGCCTGTTGAGCAAGGATGTGTTTTTGTTGTTGCCGTGGTTGCAATGAACCATCGAATATTACACACAAGCAAACCAAGAAGTTCCCACACTCCAAATATTTCCCTCTCACTCACTTCCTTTTGATTTTTCCCAGGCACAGGAAAAAATTCGAACTAAATAAATCGAAATATCAATATACAATTTATTAATTTGCTTAAAAAGGAAAAAATTACAATAAAATTACCCAAAATTGGATATAGAATCCAAAAAGTTCTAAAGGATCCTGAAATCTATGATCACAAATAATTAATTATTTCCTGTGCAGCACCTTGTAGACGTCGACAGCGATTTATTTCCCAGGCAACTTTAGTACGACGCCACTTCTCCCGGAACAATGCCCATTCATACGGCCACGCCTACGCGCCCCCTTACTCATACGTACACAGACACACCCACTTATTTGGAAATAGAGAAATCTGTGTGGGGGGAGGGGTTCATTTTTGGCGCTCCAACTCAATGAGTCGAAATTAAACAATGCAAAAGATTAAGTGCAGATTTGGGACTTTATCTGCTTGTGCCATAAATTGGTATTTAAGGGATACCTCACAAATGTCTATAGAACAAGCATACACACACACACACACAAATCTATGGTTATATCTATGGAATAGCAGCTTATGTGGGTGGCGCCTTGAAGTATGCTGCAAAGTTTGTTTTGCCAACAACAGATCACAGTACCCAAACGCAACCACACACTAAATTGCTTGCTTCCTTTTCGCAGGTGGCAACCCTGGCAGTATTAAACAAGAAAAAAACGCTTAAGTCAAGTGCTGCGACTATAAGATACCCGTTTCTGTTTTATCCAATTTACCTTAATATATTAATTGGCGAAACGCCAGCTTTTGTAGGGAAAAGCATGTTGAATAACGGATTGTGACGTCACAATGGGGCTTACACCCTACGCTTCTTAATAAATCAAGAAATAATGAAGAAAGAAGAAGAAATTGAGACCGCATGCCTAAGCCTAACTAGCTTTGTATAGCTTTTGTCATACAGTTCCTGAGATCTCAGCGTTTATACGGACAGATGGACGGACAAACGGACATGTTTTCATCGACTTGGATATTGATCGCTAAAAAGATAATATATATATAGGGAGCGCTTCCTTCTACCTGTTACATACTATTCAACGTATACAATATACCCCTTTAATCTAACAGTAACGGGTATAAAAAGTGTAGGAGAGAAGAAACCGAAAACCAAATGCAGCACAAGTTTTCCGTTTTGTTGTTTACCAATACCGTTTACCTCTCTCTCTCTCTCTCTCTGTTGGAAAATTCGAGGAGATGAAGGAGCGCCGAAACATGCACAAGATTAATTGCAATCGGTGTTTTGGCATATGTTTTATACTTTGTCTTCGGCTTTTGCCTCCAACTTCTACATTCAACTGTGTTTTGTGTGTTTGGGTTTTCTTTGTAGAAGTTTTTTCCAACCAGGGAAAATAGAAAATTCGGTAGGAAATGGAAGGTTTGGGACTATTTTCTCCGGCCAGGTGAGTGCACTTGGCACTTGAGAAGGTAATTAAGCAACTATTTATGGGGTTTTTCGGCGAAGAGACACCAAACACATGTACATGGAAAGTTTCTCCAGTGAAGAGCCCACAAGAAAGTGGGATGATAATTGCATTTCAAGTTATTCAATACAAGTCAGCATATAAGATTATAGATTTAAAAACAAAAATTATATTTTACATTTTTTCTTGTTATACATTAAAAATTTATAATTCCCCATCTATACTTCGTAACACCCGGGCCAATAAATATAATTATAGCCAGATCTTTTTGGGCAGATTGGCCTCTTAAATGCCTGGGTCCTTTGTACCATTGTTCAGCTGGATTTTCCCAGTGTCTCCACCTCTGCTGGCGTTCCTTATTCAATTTCATTTGCAGGCCAGGGCCATAATTCGATTGCCTCATGTCTTAATGGCATAATCCTGGCAACAATAACACAACATCGTTCGTGGCTTCCTTTTATCCTGTCCACCCATACACAGGCTCCCATATGAACGCGTACGAGTATTTCTCTACCTCCTCCTCTATGTGGCATCAACACCATATCATTTTGATTACTTTATTATTGGTGGGCATGCACACCTTGCCGCCCCATCTCCGGTTATTTATTTTTCTCGTTTCTCCCGATTTTTCCCCACTGATTATGGTACTTCCCCTTTCGACATAGACCTTCTTCTCATCTTCCCTCAGAAATTTCTGGCATTATCCCACTTTACTTATTAGAAGCAATAATACAAAGGGTCCAACCCCGTCGAAAAAAAAATTTCTTGTTGAGTATTGGGGGGTTATTATGGTGGAGTGAAATAAAAAGAAAAAGCAGCAGCAGCAGCAGCCAAGAAAAATAAATCATTTTTTCTGTTTTTGTTGTTGATTTATGCGTTTATTCGATGTCTCTCATTCCAAAATACTCATTCTCCCTTTGTTTATAAATGTATCTCTGGTACTTAATACACTGAAACTATTTTTTAGTATGAACTTTTTAGTTATACAAAAGTTTGTTTTATGTAAGAATTACTAGTAAACTTGGTAACCATGACTTCTCAATCAAAATTATAGAATTTTGCTCATAACTAAGCCAATAATGGTTAAAATGTGACTTAAAATAGTTACTATGACCATAATAAAGACAAAAATAATAACATATTTTTTTCCTGTGTACTGGCTTCATTTTAGCTCCTGTTGATAATGAGCCAAATCATTTTTCGTGAGATAAATTTCGCCTCGACTACGGCGGCATATAAGTAGCTGGAAAACTTATGTTCTGACCTGGCCCCAAACTCCGGTTCCTAAGCTAGTTACTATGCTTTTGTCTGGCAAGTCATTCAGTGGCCTCCCGCCTACCGCCTCCTTTTTGCTAACCCCCTTGCTCACCTTGAGAAGATTTCGTTGGGAAAATAGGTGGAGGAAATGAGAGAGAGGTGGGGTAAGTTGGCGTCGACAAGTTCGAGTTTTGGTGCGCTCCTTGAAAGCGTTATAAATCATTGACATGATTAAGCGACGCGGCACGACACGACATCCTTTTGTTGTAGTTGTAGTGCTGGAATATATATGTATTATATATATATATATATGTGTGTGTGTGTGTCTGTGGAAAATGTAGGAGGGTCTACTGGTAAACGAGAAAGTTTTCCAACAATCCATATAATCCAGCAAAATGATAATTTAATATCGAAAATTGTTTTTATTGAGTTGATTTGTAAGTCGAATTTGGGCGGGGACCAAGAATGGAGTAGGCACATGGAATCCACTAGAGATTTCAGTTCTTGAAGACTTTGACACTAACAGAAAATCATTTAAGCAATTACGTTGAGTTTTGGATTGTATTTAAACAAGTTATAAACTCCATTTGAGGTCACTTTAATCCCTCTTTAATATCTGTAAAGATGACTCCCCTGAGCCGAATCGTATGAAAATTGTGAAAAATCCGTACTTTTCAATGCAGTTGGCTGGAGAATTCGTCGTCGTTGTCGACGTTTTTATTTTATTTTTTTCTCCACTCGTCGTACTTGAAAATGCGATACTCATTCGCCACTTTGGCCCCGGCATCTTACATAATATTCCGTTTGCCTTTGCACTAGTGTCTTCCGACTTTTTTCCTGCGCACCCCAACCAAAAACCCTTTTCCCAGGACGTTTCCCATACCCAATTTTCTACCCATTTTTCCTTGGCGTTTTCACACATCAAACATATTTATGTGTACTTTAAGAAACTTTGCTAATATGTTAAAACTGTTCATTGACACCGAAAAATGAGCAAAAAGCGTGCAGGCATAAAAAAGGCCAAAGAAGGGGTTCAAGTGCTTTTCCGCTCTCCGCCATTTTCAGACCCCTCTCTGTTTGAGTTTCGTTTGCATGGAGGAGATTTTACTCATATGTGTTTGCAGTGTTGGAAAACACAAACACAAACTGTGAGCTTATTAAACGGCAGACGCCCACGGTTTTTTTTTTTTTTTGATGCTGCGGGGTAAAAACGAGGAGATGAGAGTTCTAGTCAAATAGCAGAAATAGAAACAACCGAAACAAACTTTGTTTGCCGCTTCTGCAATATTAACTGTTAATTATGGCAGTCATTTTCACCCATAAGCCATCATCCGGTACACCCCCAACGCACCCAGCACCCAGCACCCAGCCCAGCCAACCCATATTCCATTTCTATTTTATCCGGCCGTACCCCCTTTTTTCGTCTGTCAATATTTGTTGAAACACTTTCTGATAGGCGAAAATGGTTTTTGAATATGCCCGAAAAAGTTGTGCAATTGCAGAATTTCACAATTGCAATT